TATAGATAGCATAACATATAAAATAGCATAGTTTTAATTTCAATTAAAAATATCGAACTGTTGATGCTAATATCAAATAAAACGCATCTTCAACTACAAAGATAAATCGTCTTCTCGCATTAAAACTGTATAATCTCAAAACTTACTAAATTTTGCAGGAGAGTGTTTTAAAGGTTTAACATATGATATTTTTAATATTAATCACCTTTGCAACATTTATTTTTTAGGATTTACAAGTTACATTATCTGTCTTTTAAAGTAAGATAAAATTATGTGTTAATTTTGTTAATAGTAGTCAAAATATAGGGAAATTAAAAAAAAAACTTAAACGAAACTACGCTCTTTTGATAGTATTTATGAGAAAGATACTGGTAATACCAAATGATTCCACATATTTACTCAATTTCGAATATTTTTAGAAATTGTACACTTTTATTTTAATTTGGAACGCATTGTGGTGACCGGTAAAATAGAGGGGAAAAGACCTAGGGGTAGAGGTCCCAAACGATGGTCGGACCAAATAGCGGAGGAACTGGGGATGCCTATCAGCGACGCACTCCACCGGGCTGCAGGGCGGGATCGATGGAGACAGTTGGTTGACGAAATCGGACGGAGTCACGATCCTCAGCAGTGAGGAACCGATCGAAAAGAGAGAGTACACTTTTAATGCGAAATGACGAAATGTCGCGTATTAAGCGGAATGCCACTTAAACCAAATAGCCTTTCACCTCTCGATATATTGAATTCACTCATCGGAACCGTAAGGTACATTATGTCTTATAAATCTTTTCTTATCGAACGATTAACAGCAATAGAATTTGATTGCAGTCTTCTTAACTACAAAACGGTATAAGCGGATTAAGCTTCACACCGATTTACTAGAGCTAAATAGCGTGTACGACAATAATAAAAGATGCGACACGCCTTACGAATAAGAAGCATACTAACAATTCGTGAAGCATTACAACGTTCCAATAGTACATATTTTATGAAGAGACAAGTCCAGTGACACTTCCCCATTGCGACTCCGACCCTGGCTAATCCGTGACCCCACTCAATCTTTGTGTCCAACGATGTATAGCCCGCTGCGTGCTCTAACTTACTTTATTTTGCACCCTCGCACGGAATACTAACAAAAAATCACGGCCCTGACAAGAATGTAGTGCGACTCACAATTGATTTCTCATAATAAACGTTTGCCACATGTTTTTTTCTTAATATTAAAAAAAAACAAATAAAAATACCCTTAAGAAGTCGTCGTGGCCTAACGGATAAGACGTCCGGTGCATTCGTGTTGAGCGATGCACCGGTGTTCGAATCCCGCAGGCGGGTACCAATTTTTCTAATGAAATACGTACTCAACAAATGTTCACGATTGATTTCCACGGTGAAGGTATAACATCGTGTAATAAAAATGAAACCCGCAAAATTATAATTTGCGTAATTACTGGTGGTAGGACCTCTTGTGAGTCCGCACGGGTAGGTACCACCACCCTGCCTATTTCTCCCGTGAAGCAGTAATGCGTTTCTGTTTGAAGGGTGGGGCAGCCGTTGTAACTATAATTGAGACCTTAGAACTTATATCTCAAGGTGGGTGGCGCATTTACGTTGTAGATGTCTATGGGCTCCAGTAACCACTTAACACCAGGGCTGTGAGCTCGTCCACTCATTTGAGCAATAAATAAAAAACCCTTTCAACAAAACACGAACTACAAACATTCGTTCATCAAAATACAAATTCGCGAATAACAAACCAGAACGTACTCAAAATGTAATTTGTTTACATACAGAACGGTTGTTTAGTACGAGCTGATATTATATATAAAATATTCAAGTTATAAATGCGTTTCGTGATACCAATTCCTTCTGGACTCGAAACAGGTAGGCGCGGCGTAACGTAACCCTTTTTATGACATTCTTTGTCAAAACGGTAATAATCTACCCGAGTGATGTGCTTCACGAGATTACTCTTTTTTTTTTCTGGATTGGGAGCTTGATTACATTTCAGAAAACAGAGCCGCCTCGGCAACGCTTCAAACGTAAAATTCATTCGCATTTATTCAACTCGGTAAGGTTTTGTGAAAAAAAAAAACACGTGTGGCACTCGGAGACTGCCACGGTAAAGCTATTGCATAGCATTTTTTATCAACTTATGCAATTATAAATCGACAATAATAATTTAATGTTAAAACAACAATAAAATAAGACCACGCTATGTTTATAAACATTAACAAAAGCAAAACATTAACTGTACCCTTCACACTCATAGCCTAGATCGCGCGAGGGAGAGATGGGCAGACTTTTCATGATGTGCATGCGACAGTGCGACGTCACGCCGCGCGCTTATTCACAAACATTACACAAGCGCAACGTGTGAATGTGTTGAACGCGAGCTACATAGTAGGTGTAGTGGGGGTGTCAGGTTATTTTCGTTACGGAATTTCTAGATTCAGTCGCCGCGCTCAAGGCCTGCGATAGAAGCTATGCAATAGCTTAAAAAATGTTACTGATCCGTAAAAAAAAAGATAGTGCGCGTGGTGTCGGTCTAGAATAATACTGCACATCTGCCCGTTAGTATTGAAAGCAACTTTTTCTGAGTATTTATACCAGCTTACTGCGATCACTAAAGGTATATACTGGGATATATTGTTAACTCTTACGTGTAAATATTACCTTCCTGAAGCGAAGCAACCATGCATTCACGGTTTGAATTGTGGGAAAGAAGATTCCACTGAGACTGTCGGTGGCGATAAGTCGTGATTTTTTATTTATTGCTTAGATGGATGGACGAGCATAGACATCAATAACGTAAATGCCACCACCCAACTTGGGACATAAATTATAGGTCTCAGTATTAGCTTTACGGCAGAAATAGGCAGGGCGGCGGTACCTACCCGTGCGGGCTCAAAACACGTTCTACCAACTGTAATAGTGACGTGAAGACGCCAAGCTAAGGGATAAGACGCCTATTCCTGTCAAGCGATGCGACTATGCTGGCGTTCAAATCCCACAGGCGGGTGGACACCATTTTTTCTAATGAAATACGTACCTAACTCATGTTCAAGAATTAGTTCCATGATGAAGGAATTTCTTAGTGTAATAAAAACCGCAAAAATTATAATTTTCGTAATAAATAAACAAAAAGAAATACACCTCTATTCTTAAGGTAAGTGAGGTCATTTACGTATGTGAACTTTTAAGCTATTGCATAGCTTTTATCGCGGGCTCTGAGCGTTGCGACTAAATCAAGAAATTCCGTAACGAAAATAAAACCTAACACCCCCACTCCGCCTACCATGTAGCTCGCGTTCAACACATTCACACGTTGCGCTTGTGTAGTGTTTGTGAAAAAGCGCGCGGCGTGACGTCGCACTGCATGCGCATCATGAAAACTCTGCCCAGCTCTCTCTCGCGCGCTCTAGCTTATGAGTGTGAAGGGGGCAGTTAATGTTTTGCTTTTGTTAATGTTTATATATATAGCGTGGTCTTATTTTATTATTGGTTTAATATTAAATTGTTATAATCTAATTATAATTGCATAAGTTGATAAAAAATGCTATGCAATAGCTTTACCGCAGCAGTCCCCGAGTGCCACACGTTTTTTCACTCAACCACACATAAAGTAAATAATTAAAAAGCCTACGTTTTATTTTAGTGATGTAATACCTTCTAATTCGAGTGCCTGTATTCTCTAATATTTCAGATGAGCTTGATAACAAAACAGTTAGATTACTAGGAAGCCTAATTGGTTGTCAATTAACACAACGACTATCTGGTCTATTGAATTGACGTTGAAACTTGTGTTCTTCATTAATGCACGATCTCTAGATTAATGGCGTCTGATAAATGTATCATTGAGTTCTCGCCTCTGCCACACTATTCTGCGATACTATTGCGACAATCAATTTTGTTTATGTATTGTATTATAGATCATGCAAAACAGATATATTTAAAGTTAAACTGTGAAGAAGGTATTGTAGGATATTTAACGTTTTTATTAATACGCTTTTATTAGCTTCAGACGTATGTATGTTAGTATGTAACGGAATCTTTGAACATGATTTTGACCCCCTTCAAAACGTCGGATCAACTTGAAATTTGGCACACTTATTAAGGGTTGGTGACAATTTAATATTTAAAAAATACGCTTTTATAGAAAATCCAACAAAAAAATAGAAAATAAATTTTAATAAATTTGAATCAAAAATTGTGTAAGAAAAAATATTTTATTGTAAAAAAAGTTTATTTATTTTTATTTATTACTTGATATTTTTATGTGCGGTTAGGTTAGGTTGCCGCTATGCAAAGCAGTGTGGAAAAGGTCCGTGGCGCTCTTAAATTTTGTGATGCGGTCGCGTTCTTAAGCTCTGTCGGTTTGACTCGGTATGATTTGTAAATCCGTTCCATTTTGCTGTTTGATTGGTTCCTTGAGCTTAGTTTTAATTGTCATAAAATTGTACTTAGAGCATAGGATTTGAGTGTTAATAAATCTCATTAAGATTTTTAATTTTAAGATAATTGATATATTATATATTAACAATATGTTTTTTTTAATTTTTTTAAATTTTTTTTCCCTACCTATGCTGATAGCCTTGAGAGGCTATTTCAGCTTCACCCTAACGTGTAGGTGAGCTCACGGGGCTCAAACTGGAGTGTTGCTAACACTGGTCCTAGCAAGATCAGTGCTTCGCAGAATCTAACACCGGATCGGAAACACGACCCACTGAGAAGATCCGGCGAGAAACTCAGTGGGCTGTGTCTGTGGGTTAATTTGCTCGTCCTTTGTCGCAAGTGACGGGTTCAACGAGGACGGTGACCGGTGCTTGTGGTTATTTCATTTCTGGTTCCTAAAAGTACTAACGCAATGTTACTCTTGCGGATGGTGTCGAAAGGAAATCTTTGTGCCGATATTCCATTACAAATTTTAAACATTCTCCGAAATTTTGAACGTTTGATGTTGCTGGTTTAAAAATATTTTAGAAAGACTTTGCCTAACATACCTGTGGTTCGTCCCTTAATTTACTATGGTGCTCGTGACTCGGCTGCGTCGATCGCTTATGTACTTCGTGATGTGACAATAAATAGTAATTTTTCAATGAACCAATCTGTAACAAACAAAAAAAAACATACATTAACTAAAATTAATTTTACAAATTCTTACAGAAATATAATGTAATCTTCATAGCCTCATAAAGAAGACGCGAGGTCAGTTATTCGTAAAATATGAACTTACTTACAATAAGATAAAGAGGGAAAACTAAACTAAACTAGCCCAGGACATAAATCCTGCAGTAGACCAAAAAAAATCAAATTGCATTCTCCAACGACGGTATCATCTGAATCCGTTTAAATATTACAAAGATAGTTTTCTCGTTGATTTTTCTCTTTATTTTCCTTTACATCTTGAACGAGTCTTCATTTGTTGTTTTTAAAAGCAGAAAGTTTTAAGAGTCCAAGCCCATATATTTTAGGAAAGAGAAAACCTAAAATGGATATTTTTTTATCGATTTCTACATTTTATAAAGTAAGGTTACATTTAAAAAAAATATTAATGAAAAGCACACATCTGTCATGTTGAGATTTGGTTGCCGCTTTTGAAACGACAAAGAAAAGGTGACTTTTTTTTTAACTTAGACGCAATATCATTGTCGACTATGAACCGCTTCCAAAAAAACCTTTGATTGCTGTCCACTTCCAAAATCCGATTCTTTTTTGGCAAATTTAAAGAAAAATTCTAAAAACGTTTTCAACAAAAGCAATATTCATTTCGGAATACCGTAAGATCAATTTTTGTACGTAAACACTTTAAAAGCAAAAGTCGTTCCATTGACTTCCTAATGGCCGTTCACGAGGTCCGCGCTAACCGATTTTTATTCCATCCAAGACGATCACGAGACGTCTAAAAAGCTACGATTAGGCGCTATAAAAACATTAGCTTTGGGTAATTTATTCGAATTGGTATTCGGAAATTAGTGGCTGTGGGGGAAGCGGTTGTATTTTAAGAAGGCTTCAATGGCCGGTAATAAATCTGAGCTCACGCGAGCCGACCGCTATCCGTGCCACATCACTGTTCGCGGGCCATTCAGAAAACACTAAATTCCGTCTTACGGACGAAGTTTTAGTGTTGAACATTCCCTCATAACACCCAACAAAAAAAACATTATCCGATTACTATGCTATGTTTCACGTGAGCCCACATACGGGGTCGACAGAATCCTTCAGCTAAATAACCCTCGTTTTCGGAAGGGGCACGTAAAAACGTCATAATAATCCAGATTAAAACTCAACCAAAACGCGTTAAAATCTATACATATAAATAGAATTGGAGTGTCTGTTTGTAATATTGAAATAACCTACATGCATATGAATACATTTACGGTACCTACACCAAAATATCATTTTTTACAATTTTTGTCTGTCTGTCCGTCCGTCCGTCTGTCTGTCTGTTTGTTCCGGCTAATCTCTGGAACGGCTGAACCGATTTTGACGAGACTTTCACTGATAGGTAGCTGATGATATAAGGAATAACTTAGGCTACCTTTTTTAGACTACCTTCGTCCCGCGGCGTCACCCGCGATACGACAATAACCGTGGGACTCAGCTATCAATAATAAAATTTAATGTTTCCGAAGCGAAGCGAGGGCGGGTCGCTAGTCAATAATAAAATTTAATGTTTCCGAAGCGAAGCGAGGGTGGGTCGCTAGTATTTTATAAAACTGTGGTCTTTCATTAAAACTAAACACGCTTCGTTTACCGTCGACCAGGTAAGCAAAATATAGAGGTAGAATTAAATTATTTGGCAGCTCACGTGCGGATGTTTTACGATGGGCCCCAGAGCGTTGCGTTTAATGTCCAGGCTATTAACTAACGCCCAACTCGCCCCGTATTAGGCAAAGAGGATCATACATAAGATCGAATTCTTTAATGGGTGAATCTTTGATGTTGTTTGGGTTTTACATTCAAAACTTCTGTAACAACGTGTCGATTATTGCCTCCATATAAATTGTTATTAAATACTAGCTGCCCCGGCAGACTTCGTAGTGCCTCAATCGATAAATAAAAGACCTAAACTTTTGTATAAAATAAACTTAAAACAAACAAAAGGAATCCGTCCGACGGGTGACAAATGACAGGAAAAACAAAATTGTCATTTTTATTTAACTCCGAGCATTTTCATATTTATCTACCTTTTAAACCTTCTCTGGACTTCCACAAATAATCCAAGACCAAAATTAGCTAATTTAGCGAGACAAACGAAAAGCAATTCATTTTTATATATATAGATGTTGACAAATAAATCATTTTTTTTACTACTACCGTCAATTTACGTCTAGTCTATTCGTAATACACTAACAAAATTTATCAAATGAAATATTCCTGTAGTGTAGCGCAAATTTTACGGTAACGATGGATAATATTAACCTCATTCGGTTATTGCGAAGTGTTGATATAGTGTTTTCAAGAGATTTCTTGAGTTGTGTACGTAATTAAAACTGCTTTTGCGGTATAATCTCGCATTTGTTATTCTTATTATAATACTATTTCCGACATTTTAAATTCAATCAGTTTTCGTGGTCACGGAAAACAGTGTAAGTGAATCAAAAACCAACATAAATTTGTATAACAAAAATATAGAACAGATTCGTATAAAAAATACATCCCTTTCGTTAACAAAAAGGATCATACTTTTTAACTTAATTTGTTTTAAAGAACATTCGAAAAAAGTATCATTTTCATATTTTAATTAATACTAATAACAGCTATTTTGTTGACTTGTTGTATTTAACAGATTAGCTTCCTGTATAATACAAAGTAAATAATAGTGAATTATGATCAAGCCCGAGGGTAGTTAGGCCCTTAGGCTACCAACGATTAAGCAGGGGAAAAAAAGGATCGAAACACGACCGCTACAATCGGACCCATGTTTGGATTATTAACAAACTCCCAACCTAAAAACAATGTTAAAGATTGTTATTACCGTGTATGTTGTAGCAACATCCAATGCGAGAAGCTACCAATATCTCTTTAACATGAGACACTCTTATTCCAATAAGTAGCCTTAAAAATAAATATAAATAATAATAACCATAATTACCTTGACGACATAATAATCGCAATGATACTTCTTTATCTATATATTAATACGTGAAGCAAAAACTTTGTATCCCTTTTTACGAAAATTGCGCGGACGGAGGAATATGAAATTTTCCACACTTATAGAGAATATAGAGAAGAAGTGCACAATGCTAATATTTTTTTAAAATAATGCATAAAAGATACATTAAATCAATAAAGAAAACATTACACACACTACATACCATGTATTTGACGCACACTCGCATGCATACTATTTATTGTCAAACTTTTGTTCTTGACGTCTGTGGTCAAATTGAGAATAGATTAAATATTGTTTGTCTTTATTAATATTTTTTTATAGTGTAGCCTTGGCGCAATTTGTGATTATAGAAGTATAAAATACAATCATAATAGTGTACAAACTTACAATTCCAATTAATTATAGTCGAATTTCGACTACTGCGGGACCTCTAGTATAATAAATTATTTAATAATGAGTAGGTAATTTTGAAATTCGAAACTGGCATACCTACCTAGGACATATGCTGAGAAATAATAGGCCTTTACATATTATGTTTTTGCTGTTTTACAATGCAGGCCATTTAAAACGCAATTTATGTATGTCTGGCAATAAATTCTAATTATTTTTTTAATTTATTGAAAGCATTGGCAACACGGCCATCAGCTTAGACTAATTTTACAAAAAAATAAATAGAAAATGAACTAGGACTAACAATAAAAACACAAATAAAAGAAACAAACCAAACCAAGAAACAATAAATTCTAAATTCAGATGAACTGTATTTTAAAAATAAGGAATTCCATTTTCAAATTCTGTCATTTATTTATTGATTATTGATTTGTTTACACCCCACCCCACCTTTTTATCTTTTTCTTCAATAACGCTATAAAAAATACGAGTAATCATTGAATACGAGTTTTGACGCAGTAACAATACCGCACAAACGGCTCATAACATTAATGACATTTACGGAGTGAGCATTAAAAAGGAGCGCACGGCTCGTTATTGGTTTGAGCGTTTACGACTGAAAAAATGAACCCGTGGTCGCCCGAAAACTGAAGTCAACAACGACGAATTAAATACGACTAGTGGTCCCGCAGTAGTCGAAATTCGACTAATTAATTGAAATTATAAGTTTGAACATTATTATGGTTATATTGTCAAAGACTATTATACTTATATAATCACAGATTTCGCCAAGACTACAATATAGACTAATAATATTAAAGATAAACAATATTAACCTATTTTCAATTTGACCACAGACTTTAAGCATTAACTAAAGTTTGATAATCAACAAAGAGTATATATACTTAAGTGTGTGTGTCAAATAGTGTAACGTTTTCTTTATTGATTTAATGTATATTTTATGCATTATTTTTAAAAAATATTAGCATTGTTCACTCCTTCTCAATATTCTCTATAAGTGTGAGAAATTTCAAACACCTCCGTCCGCGCAATTTCCCTAAAAAAGGATACAAAGTTTTTGCTTCACGTATTAATATATAGATTTTGTAGGTTTGTTATAAGCGATCACGAGAACAAGTTAGTCGGCAAAAGTAAGACGGAAAGGCACAGGATGTTACGACATAGAAAAATCAGTATGAAAACATGGACGGCCCAAACCCTATTCAGGCTTATTTTAAAAAGCCCAGATTTAAGGAGTCGATTGTCGATCTTTCACTATACATTTGCACATGGAGAACGAGACTCCGAAACATTTACCTTACCGATCTCCTCTCAAATTGCCTAGCAGAACAAAAAACTACGAAAAAAAATCACAGCAAAAATCCAACAAAAGACATTCCTGCGCTCGATCAAGCGGACAAGGAAAACGCGTGGTAAATAAATGATATGGATGGCCCGAAATATGAGGCCATAAATCCTCTTATAAAGTGTCTAACTGCATGCACTGAAACTCTGATGCGAGCACGTGAATGCTTGAATTAAGGCGTGACATAGCAATATGCATTCTTGAGTTACGATGAATTTATTTTACAATACTTT